TCAACAGATTGTCGGTGACAAGTCAAAAGAAAATGAGAATGACCTCAATTCATCATGTTTCAAATATCCTGGGCGACACATGTGCAACAATGGTTGAGACAAAGGGTTGCGATCCCACGAGGATGAGCAAGCTAATGTCAACAATGAAACTTTATGACAACTTTTCCGCACACGTTCACTTTCATCACATACCTAGTAAAATTTTATTTAACTACTTCTAATCTCACTCTCAAAACTCCTTCTGATCCGGTTGTGGCATCCGATATGGGTTTGTTGGTCTTGCATCAAGTGTCTTCTTGGCATTTTTGCTTTAGCTTTTCATTTTGGAAAAAGAATTCACTCCGATCTGATCAAGAATGAGATTCTTGCTAATGTAACTACAATACATATTAATTAGGTTGCGTCATGCTCTATGTTAGGCTTTTTTTGAGTAAGGGTCAAATTTTGACGGCGAAACTCGGCTGAATTCAAATTAATCTCACAATGATAAGTCAAAAGTTTAAACATATGTATATGTAGTAATGTCTTTAAAAAATTTATTTCTTAGTAGAGTCCATTCGAAATTAAATTAAATTAGTTTTATTATGCGGAGCTTGTATAAAACTAGAATACTAGATTATATTGATCATATGATATACAAATACATGAAAAAGAAATGGATTGCAATATCATTCTCAAAAGCCAAATTCCATTCCTACTTTTGGTTGGTTTGTCAATTTATATTACCACTTGAAGTATTTATTGAGTTTGGTCCTAGAATTGTTGTATGGATAATACATGGTAGTAGTACAATTCACACCAATTTTGTCCTTAACCAAAAGTGCAAGGCAATGATGCAAAAAAGGGTCGTGAATTTATTGAATCTTTAGGTAGTTACAACGTTATATTTTGAAATTGATATTTTTGTAATAGAATAACCTTTGAATTAATTATTACATAGTATTATTTTATTTTTTCACACATTCAGTATTGTGAAAATTCAGTCTAGCGCTGATTAGGCGCTAAGCGTCTCTAGGCCGAGGCAATTTCAGCACTAGGCGGCTTTTAATCGGCCGGCCGACTAAGTACCCTTAGGCGCCGAGTTGGGCGCCTAACTCGGTCTAGTCAGTGCCCAACTCGTCCGAGTTTGTGCTCAACTTGGTCAAAGTCACTCCTCTTCTATATTCCTCTAGTCATGTACTCAACTAATCATGCAGTCAACTAGTTTAGGAGATTATAATAGTCTAACAAATCTCATCCCTAAGTGAAAAAGTGGAGATGATATATTCAGATTACTCGGCCGCGTCTAGACACGACCTAGGCGCCCAACTAGCGCATATCACCTTTTACAACATTGAATACATTAAAAAGAGTTAGGTTAAAAGCACCGCTCCAAATAATTAACAATCAAACAATATTTTTATAACGTTTTAACAATCAAACAATATTTTTATAACGTTTAGAGCAACACGTGAAACGCTACCACCTCTTCAATCAAAAGTTGTACCAAGTGTGACCGAACTAATGGTGTACTTTGGTAATAAATCATTATAGTACATAGTATTAATGATATAGTACATAGTACTATAGTAGGTAGCTTAGGTATTACTACTGATATTCATAATCAACTTAACACATATCTAAGACAGATCAATTAGTTATAACTATGCATGTGCTCTTACTTAATGCAAATAAATATTATATATATGTTGGGCACATCATCTTTTCTTCTGTTGGAAGGATACACGTTCAAACACCATGAACCCATCTTCCTCTTTTCTAGTTTCTATCTATTAATTTATTTGTTGGGACTTGGGGATTGATTTGGTTGTATCCGACACGGTTAAAAAATCACGTATTTCATTTTTTTGAGTGAGAAAAGAAATCAACAATTACGTCTTGAGGGTGTATATTAAATAAATTTTTACTCGTGTAATAATTCATAAATTATACAAAAAAAAAAAATTGCATTAAAAAGACTCTACTTTTTAGGTGTTCACTCAATCAATATTTATTATATATATATATATATATATATATATATATATATATATATATATAAATTGATTGATTACCATGACAAAAGCACGTTAGATGATACAATATTCAATACAAAGAGATGTTATTACTAATTAAACGACATTAAGTTAATGTCTTGTCGACTAGTCCTATAATCTAAAATTCACATGGGTCTTACATTAATTAATTAATTAATAATAATAATAATAATAATAATAATAATAATAATAGCTTCTTAACTATAACATGTATAATCTTATGTTCTTTATTACAAATTAAATTGCATGACTTAGTTAAATACAATATCTTCTTCTTCTTTTTTTTTCATAAAAATAATAGTAAAGATCATAGAAAGATTTTTCTTTTAAACTCGTCAATCAAAATATTAAAGGTATACCAGGTCAATAATGTCATTAGAAACTCATAATAAGTTTATTATTATCCTACGTTGATGAATCATTGAATCATATATATGATTGTAAAGGTAATTGTCCTAAATAGAGGAGTAATGTGAATCTATTGTCCTTATTAGCCTAATAAGCTAATAAGGACTCATGAAATAAACACTACTACAACATAGCCCTATTGGAACATATAACCATGCTATCCCTAGTTCCCTACTCATCGATATCGATTTTGAACGATATTTGAATTAATGACTTGGGAATCACAAATTTATATTTAGGTCGTTACTTTCGTTTGATCGATTTGTATTGATGTTAAATACACATGCATTTTAATCTTCCAAAGTATTTGGTTGGTTAAGAGAATAAGAGTTAAGACAAAGATATACAATAAGATAACTTTTATAATGTAAATCGTAACTGGTATAATTATGTAAATCATACATGATTATAATAGATTGATAAGATAATTAGACAAGGTAATGGATTCAATCGGGTGATATTATTCTAATCGGGAGGTGTCAAAACAATTAACACAGTTAAATAGTAACGACTACATGTGAAACAGTGCACTTAAGGCAACTCAATGCACTTATTCGAGCATCAACCCATAAAGAGCAGAAGTTATGAATGGGAGCAAATATCAATTACTAAGGAGCCACAACACTTAATTAGTGAGGGGAGCCATTGCAATTATTTGGAAGCCGTTGTGCGCATCAATATTGTAACCATTACCACTAATATAAAGGCTGACTTGCATGTAACAACAATGGGAGGACACACTCTAATTCTTGTACACAGAACCATAGTAACTTGTTCACTTGTTAATACTTACACGCAATACGCAATACCCTTCAGTAGTATTATTACCATCATATATATTATTGAAAAGTTCTAATAATACCCAATACAATCTCTATATATATATATATATATATATATATATATATATATATATAATTGCACTAGGTATGATTAACACGATTGTCAATTGGTACGGTATTGTATAATTTTGTCTTGCTTAGAGAGTCAAGAGTTGTATGCTTAACAACATGAAAGTATGGAAAATTGAGTATATATGCATGGAGTACTGATGGATGTAGGGTGTTTGACCAAGGCTGCAAGGCATCTAACCTACCTTAGAGTTAGCTAAACGATAAGGCCGGGTACCACAAAATGTGTGTCTTCAATTCCATCAAATTATGTGTATGGTGATAAGTTGCAATATTTCAAGACATCCCATGTTATGACACAACATTGAAATAGATTACAAATCTATACATTAGCAAGCTCCCCAAATGGGAACCAAACCAACAACGTTACGTTGATGACATCAAGTATAATTGTACGTTGTAGTTAATGTTATTGTTGTAGTAGGTTTAGACCTTCACATTCATCCAATATTATTATTTATTAAAAAAAATCACTCCAATTTTGATGACTCCACATGAACTTATTTCACAATCTTACACTAATAACTACAACTAACATAGGGCAAATTCCTTACATTTCCTAATAGGAATCAGACCCTGCACTCTAAAGTATTTTTTTTTTTTATTGGCCAAATCAATTGAGCAATATCCCGACTCTCGATGGCACCCAATTGCCCCTACCTTGGTCCTTGTAGGGATGGCAACGGAGCGGGACGGGGGCGGGGAGTATTCCCCGTCCCCGTCCTCGTCTCCGGCGGGGACCGTCCCCGTCCCCATCTCCGCGAGGAATTTGGCGGGGATGGGGAATCCCCGTCCCCGGTCAACCCATAATGAAAGTGTAAAATTAATACAATTTTTAAAATTAAAAAAGGAAAAAATTGAAATCAATAAATCCTAATAGGCTTTTTAACAATTTAACATTCAACTATTTTTAATAACATTCGAATTACCCAAGTTCAAATTTCAATCTAAAATAGCAAATGCAAACTAAAAATAGTCCAAATGTTCAATATTCAAAAGTAAATCCAAATATCCCATCAACATAATTAGAATTTACAACCAAAAAATACAAAATAGCAATACAATCCGTATTAGGGACTAAGGGTTACAGGAATACAGGTTACTATCTTTACTCTTTACAGTGTAGACTTTAGTCAATTTAGTGACTTTACTGTCTTCACTCTTCAAAATTAAAATAATATAAATATATAATATTATATATTTTTTATTATTATTTTTTAATTTGTCGGGGACGGGGCGGGACGGGAAGGGGTATCCCGTCCCCGTCCCCGCCGAGAAATTGCAAAAATTCTCCGTCCCCATCCCCTACGAGAACGGGACACATTGTCATCCCTAGGTCCTTGGAGTCTTATATCATGTCCACAACATAGTCAATTTTATACGTCCTGGACTAGATAAGAATCAAATCATGCACCTTGTGTCTTCTAATGAAGCAAAAGTTGACTCTTATGAGATTGATCAAATAGTTAAACTATGTTCTATCCACATTCATCCAATAATATAATCAGTCAGCCTTAGCAGGACTTGAGCATTTGTGATTCTATTAAACTACAAATAACTAGTAGGGCAGTAGCTTGAATGAGTTGTGAAACATGGAAAAAGGCACAGTTGTTGTACTACATACTAAATGAACGTTGTCCAATAATGATCAACACAACTATTTATATTATCATAACTGAATTCAAGGGGATGATTGTAAATGAATACATTGATACACTGAGGCATAAAGCCATTAAATTAAATGAATAGGTGCATTATACAAGCTCCCAGCATTTCCGCCCTATATATAAATGGAATAAATATGTAAATGTAACACTCTCTTTCTGAGTATACAAGCTAGAGGGGCAGGGGAGTGGAAGTTCTGTTTGGTATTGAAACAAGAAAATATTTCACATTTCTAATTCTTCACAACCAAATTTCACATAAACAAAACAGGTAGAATAGCCAGATGGGGGAGAAAAATGCCTGCAAATTGAACTGACCTCCGTGACTCTCTGGCTTATCCAGATTGAACTGGCATTTGACAGCCCTCCAGCTTCTCATCGTTGATTCGTGTTGTTAACCTAGCAATTAATACCACACTCCTGAACGTCTGGGCCTGTAACCCTAGTAGTGAATGGATCGATCCTCACCCATAACAAAGAGAAAATGGAGGCAAGAAGAATAGACCACACAACGACAATAGTGGGTGTACGGTTCTGGCGCCCCATGAGACCTTTGAGGAAAGGGTAGAGATGAACAATCACCCAGAAGGCGAAGAATAGTTTTCCGAAGAGAGGACCCCATGACTGGTAACCACTGTTGACGGCATATGAGATTCCAGCAACAACACCCACCAGATTTATGATGAGGAGTGTTGTAGGAGGTATCAAAAGAGTAGTCCATTTGAACAGGTAGAGTTCTGCAAAGTCCCCATCTTCATCTGACGCCTTAGATGTAACAGTGAAGTTGGTGTCAATTCCAGCAAGCACTTTAAGCAAACCTTGGAAGACAGCAAATAAGTGAGCCGAAACACCACCGATAACCCAAAACTGTTCATTCCTCCACCATTCATCGATCCCAACACCACTCCACCTCATCTCAAGTATACCAGTTGCAAAGATGGAAAGAAAGAGAGAGATAAACCAGATGCTAGCAAGATTACTAATCTGCAACATAAAGAGTTGAGATTTCATCAGTGAGTTATAGTATATCTGTCAAGAAGCTTGTGGTCTGAGTTGCAAATGCATACTGACCATTAATGTCATTTACTATCCCCATTGAAATGACTATGCAGAACACATTAGAATGATTTGTCAGAACACAGAAAACATCACCATATGTAATCCTAATATGCATTGTGATTCGCAATTCAAGATTAACTTTCAAGTGTTGGGAATTGATAGTCACCGACCAACCCGAGGCACATCATTAATCCTAACCTACCCCCAACATTGATTAGAACATTTTTGAAGGATGCAAAATTTTACTCATAAAAAGAGACCAGTCATGTCACAAAGTATATAAATGTTGATAATAGATATAAGACTACGAACCTGTGGAATGATAAACTTCCCAGTAAGTAGACAGACAGCTGGAAGTGTACAATAAATAAGAAGAGGAATGGCCGTGACTGGATAAATGGTAGTGTTAATATATGACAATCTCTCGAGCCACTTCAACCTTCCATTATACCCATACCATATGGGACAGTGTCTACTGAAAAGAATTTCCACAGATCCCAAAGCCCATCGAAGCACTTGGTTCAAACGATCTGAAAGATTAATAGGAGCAGACCCTTTAAAGGCAGGCCTCTTAGGCATGCAGTAAATTGACCTCCAACCACGGGCATGCATTTTGAACCCTGTAAGAATATCTTCTGTAACAGAACCATAAATCCATCCTATCTGCATACATAAAAAAAAAAAAAAAAAAAAAAAAAGAAATTACGAGCATGAAAGGATTAGCCTATCACATGACACTGCAAATTAAGTTGTAAACAAATAAAGGATTAAGATACTTATAAGACATTAAAAAAGTCAAGTATAGAAGCAACAATAGTTTTGTAAATTGTAATCATCAGTTTGCAACAAAATATTTCTGCCTACCCCACCAGGGCACAGAGAGAGACCAAAATGTCATTCCTAGTTGTAACAGATGTAGAAAAGGCAAGTGGAACATAGTTGTTTCATCATAAAAAGCAACTTAATCTGCTCTCAAGTCTTTTTTTGCCTAGGGTAACAAGGGCAACCTCACATAATAATTTTTGAGATGCATACCTCACTTCCCCATTCTGTTTTATCCTCGTATCCACAACTGATGACATGAATTGCCTCTTTGAGAAGATTCTCTGGAGTAGCAGACTGAGGAACACCACCATTCTCCATAAGTGTGGATGCAACAAAAACAGATGATTGACCAAACCTTTTCTCAAGGCTCACTTGAGACATGAGTAGCGATTTCTCATCATCAAACCCAGCTCCTGTTTGGAGGAAACAAGGAAACTTTAGCACACATCAGCAATGAAGTTTCTCTCAAAAGAAGCTGTTTGCTTAAACATTGTCTTAAGCTTCCATTCGCATATTCCAAATCGGATAGAACTTTAAAATGTATAACATGCATGGAAAAGTAGATTTCATTTTCAGCCAAATAATATTTATGGTTGGTTATTCTAGAGTCTATGTAATTAACTACCCAAGTCAAGTATGACTTAAGAGTTAAGACTTAGCCATGCATTAAAAGATTATTTGAAATCTTCTGCTAACAAATTAGCAAAGCAACATCTAGCAGCAGGCAAAATACTTGATTTTCTTTGGGATGATAGATTGATAGGGTACCTATTAAATATATACAATTTCAAGTCATTACTAGGAAAGAGAAAGAGTACTGGCTTTTACACATGTCAGTATATGACCAAGAAAGAATGATAATAAACTGATAACATACCTTCAACTCCTTCCTCAATATCCTCCAAATTGAATATTGGCACAGTGGGATCCACATGCTTGCTAGATTTTTTCTTGTCTGAACCCTTCTTACTTGACTTAGAACTATTCTTTCTAGACCCGCCACAGCAGGAAGTCAAAAACCCAGTTTTCTTTTTCTTAGGCTTGATAGGAGGTTCATAACCATATAATGCTGTTCTGTTGAAGACACATCCAGTACCGACATACACAGGTCCTTGAAGTCCATCCAAACCTCTCAAGTTTATCTGTTTCAATAGAGAGATGATAAGTTCATATTCAATACCGACAGAAGATACTATAAAGCCATGTAATATGAAGATATGTGCATTGCATAATAACTATAATTGAGGAAAAAGGCGTACATCAAAGAAAACAGTGTTACGATTGGCGTATCGATCATTCCTATCGATACCATCAAATCTCTGTGGAAATTGAACATAGCAGACATATTTTCCAAGATTAGGATCCATCATAAAGCACATTGCTTCTCGCAACGCCTTGCTGTTGTTTATGTAGTGATCACAATCAAGATTCAATAAGAATGGTCCATTTGTAAGAACTGCTGATACGCGAACCTAGTAGAGAGTTCCAGAACATAAGTATACAGCACACATAGATACAATTATAGCAAGCACTTCAAAATTAAACCACTCACAAGTGCATTCATAGCACCAGCTTTCTTGTGATGTTGAAAGCCTGGACGCTTCTCACGAGAAACATAGACTAACCGAGGCAGCTCATTACCATCAGTGTCAAGCCCTCCACTTTGACCCAAGAAAACCTGAATGAAATAGTTAATAGGTTTAGCTCTGAAAGAAAGTGTACTACAAAGGAGAAAATATAAAAATGCCAGAAGAGAAAGGCAACATTACAAAGTATCGTTACTGTAAACTGTCAGGAATTATTTGCAATCAAAATTCTTTTGTATAATGTTTCAAATATCATATCTAAAAGTATGGAACTATAAATTACCTGAATCATTCCTGGATGATCCCTGGTGTTATTTCCAGGCCATGGAGTACCATCTTGCATGATCCATCCTTCTTCAGGGACTTTTTGAGCCTTAGCAACAAGTGCATTGACACGTATCTTGAATTCTTCATATTCTCTCTGAAGGAGAAGTGTGCAAAGAAGCATAAAAGGCATGAACTAATGGCAAAACAACAAAAATAATGGGTAAAAGGAAAAAATACCTTCATAGCCCTACGATCTTTCACAAAGGATGGCTGAACTTTGTCCTTCAAGTAGTCAATCTTCTGACAAAAGTACCACTCAGGAGCTCTTGGCTCAATATTGAATTTCTTACAGAAAGGAACCCATTTCCTGGCAAACTCAGCTGTTTCTGATAGAGCTTCAAAAGTCAGCATTGCAGCACCATCATCAGACACATAGCAAGAGACCTTATCAACAGGATAATCAACTGCAAGAATCGATAGGACAGTATTTGCCGTAACAAGAGGTGGCTCCTTTAGAGGATCAACAGTACTGACAAATATATCAACAGCAGCTAACTGTGATGGCTCTCCTTCTCTATCATATCTGTTATGCATCATTTTGATTTAGATTTTAAAACCAAGCTAAAAAATTATTTAAGAAATTGGAAAAAAGAATAATCCCTTACCTAAGAGCAAGTCTATCAAGATATGTTTCACGATTTACAGGCAGCCACTTAGGGAACTGATCCAGAATCCAGGATATTGCAAACCAAATCTCACAAATCACAGATAGCAACCACAGAGGAAAGGCATTGGGTACTGGGTTTGTAATTCGATAGTGCAGGAAAATGCACAAAATAACAAGCCGCAGGACAATAACCATCCTATATGGATTTATCCTGGATGATGGAATGGAAACTTTCCTCGAAAGAGGCTGACGAGCTTCATCATTCCTGTGCCATAAAAAAGTTTTGCAGATCATAAGGTTATCTACCTAAGAATGTTAAAGAACTTAATATAGAACATTGAACAGACTGTAAGGTATAAGCCAAGTAAAAACTGAAATGCTCCCGGAATACAGGTATTAATGGCTGCAAAGAAAATCAAAGCCAATAACTACTAGGAGAGGATAAAAAAATCATAAAACTTAAGTATAGAAAAGAACTCACAGCAAAGAATCATCAACAAGAATATCTGTAACAGTATCAATATCTCCACCTCCTCTTTCAGAAGGAGGACGGCTAGTAGTCAGTGGGACAGCATTCTTGTCTTGTTTCATCTTCCAGCCATCAACTCTTTCTTTCCAAGCAACATTACCCAGTCCAGGAGATCCGAATTCCCTTGTTGGATCCACAACCCTGATATTGGCTGCAAAAGGAAAAGTATAACCCCAAAATTCCATTGCAAATGAAAACGGATTATATTGCCTGTATATTCAAGGCAAAGTATGTACAAGAAACTTACGTGATTGGTTTGCATCAATTGAATGAGGTATGCGCTTCATCCCACCTCCAAGACCAGGAGATGCCATTGAAAATCGTTCAGGTGATGCTGCTGACAGTTCTCCAGAAACCTAAAGTAATACATTAAGACTTTGTATGCTGCATCTTACATAAAAGCAGAAATTTTAAAAACAAAGAAGACAGTAATCATACATCTGTTCCATTTGTGAGCAAAGGGATGTGGTTGTGGGACACCTCTTTGTCATACTTGGGAGCCTCATTGTCTTCACCACGGCCATAGGTCATGTGCCAGCTCAACATACGCTCTGAAATCTTATGCTTCTCATTCTGATTTTGAGAAGAGTAATGAAGATCGCTGGCACCATCATCAGCATCACCATCGTCCCCCCCTTCACCATGGATTGCAGGACTTCCTGTAAGAAGCAACAGCATGAATAATAAGCCACACCTAAAGGAAGAGTTTAAGCCTTTATCTCCTCAAGAACTAATAAATAAACCTTAAGCAGATCACTGGCCTCACTGCATAGTACACAATGATTAGTTGACTGTTGACCAGTAAAGAACACAACTAGAAAGCAGATCACATTTGTTCAAGTCACTTAGAATTTTCTGATAGTAATTGCTGAGAATTCTATAATTAAAAATTCAAAAAGTATTTGGCTTCTTGATTGAGGAAGGATGACATTATCAGAAGGCATTTGTATGCACCAAATGACACATTGCACAGTCTAATTGTGCAACTCAGTTGCGAGTATTTGAATAAATCCAATGGGATCAAGCAGATTTACCTTTGTGCCTCTTGTATCTGGTCTTGCATTGGGGACAAGACTGATTCCCATCCTTTCTTTCATATTCATAGCATGGCCTGCAAACCGGAAAGGAGCAGACATCACATGCAACAAATGGCTCACCATCCACAGCTGTGCCAACACTATCACCACAAATCTGGCAGACCTGACCACCAATGGTCTTTAAAGACTTCCCCTGAATTACAAATAATCACGATTTGAGCAAATCCAATCCATTAAACAAAAATTATGAATCCTTGGCAAACAACCTAAGACAGAAACATACTGTCCATCCACAGATAAGCCTGATCCAAAACTATGAAGATCTAATCTAATCTAAGAAATGCTACACGCATTAGTAAACCAATAGTCCACCCAATTGAAACACAACTATCCTCAAAGAGTACGAACCTTGGTTTCTCCTTCAGAATCCATCGTCACTATGCTCTGATGCGAACAATATCACTGCGATCAGATTTAACAGCCTTACTCAAATGCGCAACCGGCCGACATGCCCGACGCAATATAAATCCTATTCCTCTCGCGCAAAAGTAACTGCGCTGAAATGAATCCAGTTCAAAGGTCAGATCTAGCACCGACGCATTCTCATCGAGGAAATTGAAGGAAAAAGTTAATCGGAAAATAACAATATAAAGTAAACAGCTAGTCAACTACTCAAATCCAGCTCAATCTATCGAAAAACCTATGTTCAAGTAAAATCCAGAGTCTGTCACGATTACAAAAAGTAAAAATTCAGCAAACATTCTACATTGATGATTTCACTGAACAAGCAATCGAAGTGATCACCTCAATATCTGATTGATTCTCGACAGATCAACTCACCTAAAGAGATGTCGGCCGAAATCCCTCCCGCCTTTGAATAGAGAGAGAAGATCGATCGCGATGCAGAACAGATGGCAACTCCAGCAGGAAGCCACCAGTGAGATAACTGTCAATCAGTAGCCTTCCGCGCTCTCTCTCTCTCTCTTTCATAAATATAAATAGAAAGTGGTACGTATAGCTGGAGATAGATAATTAGAAATGACCCATTTACATAAATACCCTTTTCACCCACCCATCGTTATTGCGTCGACCGTGGTAAAACGACATCATTTTGAGTGATTTTTTTTTTTTCACACGACTCACCGTAACATATATTTTTATAATTCATAATGTATATTATTTTAACTCATAAAGTATATTATCTTATCTCAAAAAAATTATTATATTAATATATAATATACATTATTCTAACACATAAAATATATTATTTTAATTCATAAAATTTAATGACGTCATTTGAGACATTAATCCACACAACTGTCTGGACCATAATTTGCCCCCTTTTCACCTCATGGTTGGCAGAATAGACAAGATTAGTATAACGCAATAAAGGCCCATCTTAATTCTTAATATTTAATTCATACCCAGCGGAATTGCTTGCACTGTAATTGCTCCACCGACAGCCGTTGCCCCTCATCATTTGGACTTAAGAGAGAGTGAAGACAAAATGAATAAATAAAAATAAAAATAATGGGGATGTTTGTTTGATTTCCGAATTATTTTATTCTCTCGGTAATGATTTTTGACTTTTTTTTTTAAAAAAAAAATCGTGTTACAAGTCTACAACTTTTTACGATAGCTATAATGACTGAACTAAACGCAATTGACAATAACAGGGTGAGACACTAATTGAGACATGAATAAAATGATAATCAAAATTACAAGAAAATTTTATGATACGATAAGTGATAATGATAAAGCATACAAATTCTTATGAATATAGAGCATTTTTAATTATAATATTATAAACAAGTTTATGTTTAATACATAAAAAGCAAAATAACAAAGAAAGATGTATTGTTTATGTGATATATTACGAGTTAGATTGCTCTATTTTGAGCAAAAAAGCATTGAATTTAATATTTGAATCAAATTGAGTAAGGTTCGTCTAAAATGATCAACATTCTAACAAAAGTAATTAGGATAACATTTATCGCGTAATAGTGACATATTAGATAAATTGCCTTTTTCTCTTTACAATTTATTTATCCATTATACAAATTAAGATTATGCAAATTGAATTATTTCCATTATTAGTAGTATTTTCAAATTATGGTATTAATTGTTCCTATATAGGCAGGGTACAAATATGAAAGTGAGAGAGTTTAGGTATGCAACAATATGTGATATTTTTAGACATAAGAGATGGGAAATGGGAAATTAATGAACATTAGGAAATTTTACTTAGAAGAGACGAAAACGACGTATCAGCTGCCTACGATCACTCTAATTGCTCCTCTTGTTGCCTCATCATTTGGACTTTAGAGAGAGTGAAATAAATAAATAAAATGGGATTGTTTGTTTGATTGTCATTTGTCATCAATATTCTTTTTTTTTTTTTCTCGTTTTGAGATACAATAACCTTTAACAATATCTGTCACAACAAAATTAAACACCGCCGCTGCCAACAATGGTGACACATGTGAATGAAATGATAATCAAAATTACAAGAAAATTTGATGATACCATAAGTGAAATGATAGAATATATAGTACGGAGTATTAATGTATTATTACTGATGTGATTAATACGGTCGTCCACACGAATACATACGAATATTGAGTCGGATCGTAGATGGATCATTGAATTGTTTGCTTGTTGGTTTAAGGTATTGAGCAGGGGTAAAGGTGACATTGAGTCAGAGTGTCCCGAGCTTGCAGTAATGCAGAAGATGCCAAAAGTCACTCTCTCTAGCATTTAATGTGATATTTATAAGAGAATAGAGGGAACACATGCCAGAGGCTCGGCATGCGCGACACGTGTCTTCTATGCACATGGGAAGGTCGAAAGTTCCGCTAATTCCTCCACGTGTACTTAGGTTCCCGACGTCCCCGTTCCTGCCGCAATCAGGTTCGACTAAGGGAATGAGGTTCCGTTTTCAAAGTGGAGAAGGTTGAGTGGCTCGTCCCGACCTAATAAGATGGTTGGGGCGACCCTGAAGGTAAAAAATAATGCTACTAACTAAACCCTTGCTCGGTCCTTCACAACAGGTTGGGTCGGTTAGCTAAAAAGGTCGGTAAATGGTCGGAAATAATTCATCTCGACGGTCCGACCAGATACCGATGTACATGTAACAAGGCCGGTGATTATTCCCTATCAATTACGTATAATATTATAAACATCAATTTTTTAATAAGCAAAATAATAAAGAAAGGTTATGTAAATTGCATATGTTTGCCTCTCGATGAATATGCGTGATGGAACACACCTGGTTAAGTCATTACACTCTATTTGGTTATGATATACAGATCGATCAGAGTAATATTTTTAATTTATGATACATAATTGAAGGGCTCAATTAAATTTATTACGATTTGGATTAGGTATGTGAGTTGGCTTAGAAAGACAAGATCAGAAACAATAAGACACAATGAGTTGAACCTTTAAGTTCGAGTACCCCGGATCCCAGGTAACCCAACTAGTGACAAGCAAAATTTTTGAAGATGTTCGAATTCAAAACAAATATAATAATATTATAATAGAGTTTTACTTCAAACTAAAATCAAATAAAGATAAATTCTCAAAATATAAAAGAAAATAAAGTAGTAGGTGCACCTAATTCAATTCTTCAACGCTCTAATGAATTTTTTTTGTATTTATTTTAATTTGATTTAATTTAATAAAATGGGAGAAAGAACATCATAATCAATGTTGAATTTGTCAAAACGTATTTGGTGAGATATTATAATGCTTTATATTTTATAATAATTAAAGAAAATGCATTTAAACGATAAGCAAATATTGGTAGGACCAAAATATGTAACAACTAGCGCGCACCGTGCACGTGCACCGACAGCCAAATGGCCATCATGGTGGCTAATTAAAAGCTGTTTGGAACCCATGGCTGAAAGCGTTCACAGTGCGATGTTCTTCGTATCAAGAACCATTGCCAACCAAACAAGCCATCTAGTTTGGACAGTTGTTATACTATAGATTATTAGATTAGATTACGGTTCACATTATAAGGTAAACTACTGATATATATATTATTTTTAGTATATTTTATGTTCATTTTTAGTAATATTGTATATTTACTTATAGTGTATTACAAATTTATTTTTAATATATTATTTAAAAATAATACGTAATATATTAAAAATAAACATTCAGTATATTAAAGTGAACATCTATCAACAATATAATTCACAATGCAACGTAAACTATTCTTCATAATATAATACTACGTAGGAGTTTAAACCAACCGAGCCGAGCTTGAGCCTTGAGCTCATGTTGACTTTAGCTCGAGCTCGATAAACGTAACAATAGGTAAACTTGAACTCGAAAATCGAAGTTCGAGCTCAAAGTTGACCGAGCGGTTCGGCTATATATATATATATATATATATATATATATATATATATATATATATATATATATATATATATATATATTATATATAACACACGAGCGGCTCGACGAGCCACAGGCTTAAAACATTTGAGCTCGAGCTCGACTCAATTACTAAATGAGCTGAGTCAAGCTCAAAATTGACCAAACTCGAACCGAGCTTTGACCGAGCCGCTCGCGAACTGCTCGGCTCATTTACACCCCTATATATAGTATAATTTACCTAGTTTAGTACCTTAGCCAAATGAACTCATATCAGATGACGTGCTTGCATAGTTTGACTTTACAATTGTATTAGGAATTCGATTACCAACAACACTCTTCAGAAAATTGTTCTGGCATGGATCTGACTGAAACTCAACTGAATTAATGATGCGAATATGAGTGCAGTATTACAATATATGAAAAAGAAAGGTGCCCGCATGGACAGCTCAGTTGGTCACAGGTGAAGTTTGGGAACAATGATCCGAGATCGAGTGTCACCAGCGGCAGTGTGTGAGCAATCTCTCAAGATGCTCTGTTGAGCCGGGACGTGGGGCCTTGGAGTCGGGGATTCAACATTTTGGGAACAATGAAAAAGAAAAGGTGTTGAAAGCCCAAACTAGGAAGGAAATGAGCCCAAAACAACATTCTGGTCAAACTGGGCTTTCAAAAACTATGATGAATGAACCATTATTTCAGCCTACAATATTATTACACCGTAATAATAATCCATAATTAGCCCACCATATCTGATCTCCATGTCACTTATTCATTATAAGAAAATTTTTACAATGTCTACTATATGCTATAGCATTTCATCAATAACATTAAGGGGTTGTCTGATTCTTGAAACAATGCATTCTGATGAATGCTTCACAAATATGTCTTTGAGAGCCCCATTGATCATAGCCTTTGCCATTTCATGCTTTGGTTGCTTCTGTGCTGCTACTCTTCCTGCTTCAGATCACCATTTCCATGATCCTCACACCAAATTCATCATCAATGTGGACGATTTCGGCACCCGGGCCGATGGGCTCACCGACGATTCTGAGGTATGTATTGACAGAGGACTAAAGGGTCAAGTTCAGCGTTCTGTTCCTCGTTGTCCAAACCTGTTTCCATTGGTTACTTTTCAGGCGTTTGAAAATGCTTGGCACAGATTTTGCCAAACAAAACAGGGAGTTCTGTTGATTCCTAGGAGGATATATTTACTTAAACCAGTGTTCTTTTCTGGTCCCTGCAACCCAAACCTTAAAATGAAGGTAAGTTCCACCTTTTCGTTTGTTAGGATGACGAGGAAAACTCGCAGTTATTATTTGAAAATGTGTATTGCTCTTGTGTAATAACTAATAACTCGAAGTTTCAACTATATAATATGATTAATTTGATGTATGTGTACTTATGATTAGATAAGAGGAACAATTAAAGCTTCGAGGAACAAAGATGATTATAAGATTACAGAGAGGCAAAATTGGATACTTTTTCGACACCTGCAACACTTCAGAGTTGATGGTGGTGGCCTCATAGATGGCAATGGTGAAATATGGTGGAAACAATCTTGCAATTTCTTGAAGAGAGAGGTGTGTTTTACAATTTTATTTATTTCGTCTCATTTCTTTCTACATATTGTAATGTACTGATAGCACTGATCATTCTGCAAGATAAGACTAATTCAAATTGTACTGTACTAATAGCACTGATCATTCTGCAAGATAAGACTAATTCAATCGAGTCTCAGTTGAGACCTCATTCCACATGTACATAGAGACAGACCCCTTATTTTCGATCAAGTCTTAATTGATCATTCTACTTGAGACAACACCTTTTAGTTCCCGTATTATTCATAAGAGCATGGTTAAATAGCATTGTATTGAAACACTTCTCTTATTGTCTTTGCAGCCTTGCGATAATGGTCAAGTACCACTTGTAAGTTGTCGCTTATCTTAAAGAGTGTTAGCATTCAATGATTAATGTAAGATGATCTTTTGATGGTTTCTTTGATTTGTAAAACAGGCGGTCAGTTTTGAAAACTGCACAAATTTGAAGGTGAAGAACTTACGATTGAAAAATTCGCAGAAAATGCATCTTACTTTTAACGAATCTCGAGTTATTGAAGTCTCAAAACTGAAGATAGAAGCTCCGGGTGACAGCCCTAATACCGATGGGATTCATATAACAATGACCAAAGATATTCATATCAAGAATTCAGTCATTAGAACAGGTAAAATGCTAATCTTGGTGCTACTAATTACTTTTTATTGTGAATTTTATGACATCCATGGTGTTGTAGTCTAAAAATAATAAGTGTTATGAATATTCTGTTTAAAACAAGTTGAGGACAGTTAATTATCATTTTATTTTTTAAATTTTGACAGGAGATGATTGTATTTCAATAGTGAATCGATCTATGAATGTTAGAGTATCGGGGATAGTGTGTGGATTGGGACACGGAATTAGGTAAATTGTTTTTACTTATACGGAGTATTATATTAAAGAGGTTTCCTTTCAAAAGAAAATATTAAGAGGTTTTTAAAACATTATGTTTTTTTAGTCTGTTTTATTAATCAATTCTTAAAAATGTTTTCCGAGACATAGTATTGGGAGCTTAGGGCGACTAGGGAATCAAGAGGCTGAATATGTATCTGACGTTGTAGTCAACAGATCAAGATTGATAGGAACAAAAAATGGGGTGAGAATAAAGACTTGGCAGGTACAAAAATTGTCTATTTCAATTCTTCAATCTTTCTATAATTTTCCTTTTGAGTTAATGTCATATAGGGTCCTCCGAGTATAGTGGTTTAGCCACGTTCAGTCAATCAGTCCTAAACTTTTAAATTAATCACTCGTGATCCTTCGACTTTCAAATTGTTACAATCTATGATATAAGTTTACCACCCATGGTCCTTTTAACTTTCAAATTTTAACCATCTGTGGTCCTCCTGGAAGGACCATGGTGGTTAACTTGGACCACAGATGATAACAATTTAAAAGTCAAAGAAAGCCAATTTGAATGTTTAGGACTAAACTCTAAATATGGCTAAATCACTATGCTCGGAGAACCCTAGATCACTGAGTTTAATTTTCACAAATTTGCAAATTTGTATATGAAGGGTGGGCATGGAGATGCAAACAACATTGTGTTTGAAAACATAGTAATGCAGAATGTGACAAATCCCATAATCATAGATCAATTCTACTGTGAGAAATCCAAAGTTAAACCTGAACCATGCCCTGAGCAGGTACTAAATTTCTTTTAATTTTTCGTAAAGTGTCAACTGACGCTGTGTCGATTAGTAATAGGTACAATCATCTATACAATGTCTGATTGTTTCGTTGCACCGTCATTAGTACCATGTAACCTTTCCTGTAAGTTATTTGCCAGAGAGAAGCTGTGAAAATAAGCAAAGTGGTATACAGAAACATCAGAGGAACAAGTGCAGAAGATCTGGCAATCACATTCAACTGCAGCAAGAATGTTCCATGCCAAGGTATTGTGTTGGACAACGTAAGACTAACAGGTTCAGGAGAGGCGAAAAACATCACAGCTTCATGTTCACAAGTTAAGTATATAACTAAAGGAGATGTTTTTCCCAGTTGTAACTACACAGACAGTGGCCCTGTTTGGTAAAATAATTAGTCTATCAGTCAATTTTGATTTATTCGATCACTTTTAGCTATTTGATTTGGTCAAAGCATCTTTTTCGATTAGTTTTTTGAAAAAGTCATTTTGTATGTAATCAGCTATCAGTTAATTTACCAAACACTTTTCTACAATCAGCTAATGCTATCAATTAGTCAAACTCACTAACCCAATCAGCTAACAGCTATTTACCAAACATCTCCAGTATCAGCTGAATAAATTCTATAAGCATTCCGTTCCTATATGGATCATCATCAGGTTTTACAAACAAACAGCACAAAAAACCCCTCGAGTGTATACCTACGTTTTCGATGTTGTTGTTGTTACTTGGGATTGGTCTCATCTTTATCCCGAAGAATTAGAATCTATCGCACATAGTCTACGATAATGAATGTTGTATAGGCCTATAGGGTAACAAAATAAGCATATACCTAAGCATACATTAGTTCGTCTTCTCTAACAGCATATGGTATCGGCAGGATACCCTTAGCCTTCGCGAAAATATCTGTTGAACCAGTGGTCATCTCAGCAACGGGAGAGTCCAAAACAAAGTCGGGTATGGCCACCAGTGTCTCGTCAAAAATGGATTTGATCGTCTACGAGTATAACACCGTTTTAACGCAATTAGGCTACGAAAGACGAGGAAATAAAATCGAATGAGATATAGAAGTCGCGGGAGTACATACAGTGCAGTGGAGGAAAGCAGCATCAACTTTGCGCTTCCACAGACTATTTCCAGGCTCCGAATGAAACAACCCGAGCAAAGGCTGCAGTGTAGCCAAGGAACTTGTCATCGAAAAACAAATATGGAGGATGTTAAGGTCCCACATTGATAAAATAAGAGAGAACATGGATTCAATCTTTTAGTGTGGTTTGACCCATGTGCATTATACCTCAGTTGAGTGACTCTGGCTCAATCTTAGATTATAACATGGTATCAGAGCATGTTCACCCAGTTATGAGTATTGGTGACATCCAAGCTTTCGTAAGCCCGCCAAAAAAAAAAGAAAAATAGAATATATGCCTTTAAAAGGCCATGGGTTAGACTAGCTAATTGGTTGGTGGTTGGATTAAATCTTAGCCCAATCTTAGTTTGTAAGAGAGGACAAAGGAGGCATAGAGCGTAAGTGCATAACCTCCAATCGGGACAAAAGAAGAATCATATTTGTGAAGCTAGAAAGCTAACGTTAAAACAAACAGATAAGCTCACAACTTTATACCTTGACAATATCCCTAACATTTGGTCTCTGTCCATACATTTTCAATACTGAATCACCATAAATCAGGTACTTTTCGAGAACCTAAGCACAGAGTGAGAAATTTTGGATTAGGCAGGAAAGACATAAATAAGGTACATAATCTCGAAAGATCAAGTTCCGAAAATAACCTGTCGCCGGGTCAGATTACTACGAGGTGCGCCGTACACTGCACTATCAACGTTTCCTAAAATCTGCCATGGACTACCAGAAGTAATAGATTAATGCCTCCTTAATCAGGGTATACATAGCAGGCAATCAAAAGTGCGACAAAAGAAATACTGAAAAAGGAGCATTCATACTTGTGGTATGCTCCACGCCCTACCATCACCCCATGAGCACCTTCCGTCCGTGCAGCATTTATCTGTAATTTAAACTCCAGTAAATAGCCAAAACGATGAACTTTTTGTTTCCTTACGAAAATAAATGTATTTCTTTTACATGTATAAAAGCCATAACTTTTAAGATAAACACAACAGGGAATCACTCTCATCCCTTAAGAGAGGCCGGGAGTTTAAACCCCCTCTTGTATGGAAAAACCAATTTGGCCAGCACTTTGCCCCTTAATTGGGCCGGCTCGGTGCGAATGGGGATGAGTCTGAGTATGGTACGGGCTTAAAGGTGCCTCCTACCGTTAGGGTCTGCTCAGGACACCTCATGGCCTGACCAAAAAAACACAACAGGGAAACAAAATCCTATGGTTTAAGATAAACCCAACTGCGGCTGATTGAAACCTATGCAACCCAAGATTGAAACGGGGATGCCCCCCCCCCCCCCCCCCCCCACAAAAAAAAATGTGTTACCTCGTTAATGGTATTGATGCCTCCATTTATTGTAAACTGTAGGTCAGGAAAATCACGCAAGAGAGCATAGAAATACTCATATCTGCAGGAAAGAAATTCAGTTGCAGTCTACATAAAATCCGAGTGCATTCAATGAAAAGAAAGTATGCTTAAACAACTCTATGATATTGTCATATTGCTATCACTAACTATATGCATACTTGAGGGGAGGAATTTTTCGATTATCAGCTGGACTTATTCCATTGAGTAATGCTTTCCGGGAGTGTATAATGAAATGGCGAGTTGGAGACTGTGAAGAAACTTTGTAAATAAAGTCACCTGTACATTTGAGAGAGAAAGACTGTAAGAATCAGTTAAAGCCATAGCATTAGCAGATATGACATTTTGGTCCTGTTTGGTAAAATAGTTAGCCTATCAGCCAATTTTGGCTTGTTTGACCACTATTAGCTGTTTGACTTGGTTAAACAACCAATATGAGTGTTTGATTAATTAGCTTTTTGTAACAACTTATTGCTCCAAAACACTCAAAATTCAAAAAGTTGTTCAAAGAAGCTTTTTCGATCAGCTTTTTGAGAAAGTCATTTTTGTATATAATCAGCTAATTTACAAAACATCTTTCTACAATAAGCTAATGCTATCAACTAGTCAAACCCACTAACCCAATCAACTAACAGCTATTTACCAAACACCCCCTTTGTCTGAGATATAGCAGATCACACCTAAAAAAAATGAAACGAATTGCTTATACAAATTTTTAAGTGGCAGCTTTAAGAGGATAGTTGTTCTTTTTTTCTTTTTTGGTGCATTTAGTACAAATACGTAAAGTAACAAAGCAACTGGCTTTTGAAATCTTGGTAAGAAATATCTTAGGACTAAATTTTTATGGGTTATTTTTTATAATATATATAAATATAGATGCAGAGTATTGGAAAAACTCACAGAGTTCATTGTACGAATCATGGTCATCAACTCCTATTCTGCATTTAACACTCACGGGTACATTGGTATTGGCGGCAATAACTGACATAGCTTCAGCAACAAACTTCACATGCAAAAATCCATAGGTACATTAGTACTCCGAACATATAATAGTACCATGCATATCATCAAGCAAAGTTTTTCACACCTTTGGATCAAGCATGAGACGGACTCCAAAACACCCATGTCCAGCTACCCTAGGACTGGGGCACCCGCAACTGTAAAGACGAAAAATATGTCAGTTATGGATGTCCAAGACGGTTCAAATAAACATGCTTTTAAGAGAAGCGTAACAAACTTAAAGTTGATCTCATCATAGCCGTAAGGAGTTGCTAGTTTTGTTGCTTTTGCCAGATTTCCCAAGTCATTTCCACCAATTTGAAGCACAATAGGGTGTTGCTCAGGCCCATATGCCAAGAACCTGTCCTGATAAATTCCAGATGGTGCATAGGGTCAGAGATCTCCAAATATACCGACCTTGGGGCCCCATTTCTACCCCAAGAGAAAGAGAGATGGAGACAGACACCAGACATGTAAAATTTTTGTTTTAAATTTAAACATTGAAATATAGACAATAGATAACCAGCTTGGTTGGCGTGAGTGATCGTGCACTCTCATCTCTTAAGAGAGGTCAGGGAATTCGAACCCCCTCTCGTATGGAAAAACCAATCTGGCCAGCGCTTTGCCCCTTAATTGGGCCGCCTGGTGCGAATAGGGATTAGTCTAAGTATGGTACGGGCTTAAAGGTGTCTCCTACAGTAGGGCATGCTCAGGACACCTCATAGCCTGACCAAAAAATATAGACAGTAGATCTCTAGGTGGAAAAATACTTCTCTTTTCCTGTTTCTAAAAAATGGTTTTGGAATCCCATAAGTGATCCCATTAGGCGGAACCTTACCAAATTTCCCTCCTGATACACAATTGTTTCTGCAGCAAGCATTTCGGTATAGAGCCATGCATGTTTCGAGATGAGCCGGGCCATAGTTCTGTAGTGATTATCTGTCCACTCCATCATCGGAGCAACACTGTCCATTAAACAATACTAATGCTTAGTATAGCTTGGAAATTCTATCAACTCCATAGGATAAACGAAAGCCAACGTTCATAGACACCCACCTAAACAAAGGAGGAAGATATCGCTCTGCACCCATTACAGATTCTGTATGCAGTTCCTTCTTTTGATGGTAAGCGCGCAATTTCTTTGACTTTGTTGAATTTCCATAAAATAAATTCGATGAGAATCTGCCATAGTTTTTTAGGATAACAGAATGAAAAGGAGTTAAGGAAGCAAACAAACAAAGCCCGGCAGATTTCATCATCCCTCAAGATGCAGTGTAGTCTGCTCTTTGGTGTACCTATCCATTGGATGGAAATCGACATCATGAAAGAGGACATACTACTATCTACTAGCCATGTAGAGAAATAGAGACACTTAAGAAACAAAATCGCATGCAAAGGTATTATCCCGGGCTTACAAACTTCCGGGCAAAACCATTAGACACAATAACCCAATATCCCACTCGAGCAAGTTTCATTGCTTTACATCAGATCAGTAAAACATTAAGATTCCACCCGATTTAACAAACAAGATCGCATCTAATACACGGAGAAACTTGCCTATTTGACTATCTCAACCCCACACACTACCCCCCCTTTTGTCATCCCAGACGAGCATCATTGTCTACAAATCAAGAGCCTTTGATCAAGATCAGTTTGCACTGCCATTTACAACAATAGGCAGAAAATTTACTCTAGTTTGCCACCTAGTTTCAGCATCACAAATCAGTCTTAGAAATCAAAATTAAAGGAACAATAGCAATCCCAATATGCATTTTACTTGCTTCAATACTGAATACACTTTTATCTTTACTCTATATCAGCTCTAAGTTCCACTAAATTCTCAAAATTAGCACTAGCAAGTAATCCCTCCCTTGGGTACCTAAAAAGTTCAAAGCTTTACCTTACCTCTAATGAATTCTTCTTATTCCTATAACTCACCAGGTTGGTAACCTGATATACATTCAAGACGACCAAAACCTGTGTTGGATGAGAAATTCTCTAACAAGCTCAAAACAAGTGAATTTTTAGCAAAAACATAAAAAAAAAAAATAAAAATAAAAATAAAAAAATAAAAAAAATTAGATGCATATAAAAAACTTAGGTCAATGTTTATGCTTTATATTCTTCATATTTCAGCTCCTTCTCCAAAACATTCATCCTGTCATGTATAGCTCTTTATACAGAATTGGTTTGTGGGACACGACAGAAAAGTGGAAGAACATATACAGAGAGGAAAAAAGATTGGGGCTTTTACATGGACGACAAAGAAGACGATGATGTTCGCCTCCGCCGCCTCCCCCGGCGGTTTTCTTAGAGCTTTCGAACACCGGATCGAGCAGTGAGGGAGGCGGGCTGCTTTTCTGGATGCCCGTTAAATATAACAACTGTCTCCACTCTTGCTCGGATTGGTGGATAATATACGCAAGGTAAGGATTTAATACTAGAGAAACGCTACATGTCTTGTTATTTGTCACAAGAGTTCATACCATTTAGATTCTTCGGAATATAGTGTTTTTGATGGGTTTAATTCTAAATTTTAAAATTTATATTATTACCATCCTTCCAAGAGGACCATAAATGATTAACTAACAGGGCGTTTGGTTGGAGGGGGGGAATTATGTGGGAAAGGAATTGTAATTTCATGGGAGTTGAATTACTGAGAATAAAGTGGGAATTTAAATTCCAGTGTTTGGTTGACAGGAATATAATTACTGGGAATTTCAATTCCAATGTTTGGTATACATGGGAATTGAAAGGGAATAAGTAGTATAAAGTTAAAAATGTTCATTATTGTTGTTAGACATTAATTTTAAGTTAAAAAAGGAAGGGGTAATGTTGACTCATCACTATTTTTTTTTCCCAGGAATTAAAATACCAGGGGGGGACATGGGATTTTAATTCCATGAAAATGGATTCCCTCCAACCAAACTATGGAATTTAATGGCCTTTGGAATTAGGTGGGAATTAAGTGGGAAGGGAATTTAAAATCCCTCCAACCAAACGCCCTGTAAAATTCATATTATTACCATCTTTTCAAGAGGACCACACCTGGTTAATTTTTTAAAATTTTGAAAGTTGAAAGACCATAAATGGTTAACTTGGATCCATGATAACAATTTAAAAATCAAAAGACTAAAGGACTACAAATGGTCAATTTGAAAATTTAGAATTAAATGTGAGAAAACAGAGAACCTCATATAACGGACACCTCATACTCTAGTTCCTCTATTCCACCTTATAACATAACATAAACCTAAAAGTGCACTATGGGAGAATCCAATTTTATAACCCTAATCGGCAAAGAATTATAAGGTAAATTAGCAGATGATTCATAGTTGATCCTAACATGCCTGATACTGCTAATTATACGTAAGCGCTATGAAATAACTCGAGACCGATTAAAGCAAGGAAATGTCTTTATTGATCACGGTAAAGGCCCTAAGTACAATCTACTTGGTTGCTCTGAGTACCGACTGAGTGCGGTCGGGATTCTCTAACAACAACCTATCGATCGTCCAAAAGTCCCTCACACTGTAGCTACTGTGGGTATTTATGGCCGTTATGCCGGGGACAGGATTCCAGCCGTTCGGCATGTCCTCCACGTAGCCACCACGTGTCATCCTCCCGGGTGCCCTGCCTGTCGATGTAGAGAGCCGCCACGTGTCCTTCGTCAGCTCTCTCGCCAAAGGGCTACCGCTCGGTGGTTGACATCGTCGTTCGGGCAACTCCCGGTCGGACCCCGACCGGGTTCTTCACAAGGAGCCCGACCTGTTATCTGCAAAGACAAAGAGAAAAGGACAAAGGCTTCTCGGTCGTGGTGAAGCTATGTCGGTCGGGATATTCCCTACCAAGAGCCCCCCAGCCCGGGCCTTTTTGATCGCCCGGGAAAAAAAATGGGCCGGGATGAAGAAGCTCAACCGCCGGCCATCAACCCGACCTGCCAGCTGACATTCCTCTCCTCGCCACGTGTCGGCTACTGCCGGCCTCTGCGACTGCAACCGTCGCCTCGGAATCAGTGCGGGTCGTGTCAAGCAAGTGGGCTCGTTTCCCGCCTAAATGCTCTCCTATAAATAGGCCATTGAGGCCCTCATTTGAACTTTCCTCACTCTTTTGCTTCAGTCGGTACTCTCAGAGAGCCCCGAGCAGAGCACCCTAGCAAGGCATTCGAGCAAGGAAACCTTCAAGCTTTCATCCGCAAAGTTCCTCCATCCGGTAAGTTCTCAACCCCTCCCTTTACTTTGCGCTTTCATTTATAAGTAGAACTGATAGGCCAACTAACTGTCCCGGACGTCTCAAGTCCCTTACTAACCCCGACCGACCTTTAGGTAGATCGAAATGACGGACTCGGACAGCCAGAACGCCTCGATCGCGGACTATGACGAGGAGGTCGAGTACCTCAGCGATGAGGAGGTGGACATCATGTCCTACTCTCCCGAGGTCATCCACCGACCGGCGCCAGCCCCCGAGCGGGCTTCCGAACAAGACAACGCGTCAAGCTCTTCTGGGTCATCGAGCTCCAGCTCAAGCGGATCGGGGAGTTCCGGCGAAGAGGAAGAAGAAGGAGCCTCATCAGGCAGACAGGGCTCCCCGCCCGAAGGCGTTAGGGAAACGCCTACCCGGGTGGTTGGGGACCACCCGGAAACTGCTCCTCGACGAGGCGACCGGGAAAATACTCCCGAGCCGGCCGAGGAAGACACAGCTGGGCCAAGCGCACCAGCAGCAACGGAGTTCGAATTCTTGAACAGCGAGAATGTCGAACAACAAATGAGCCGATTGACCAAAGGCGAAGCGGCTAGGATTGCTGAAAGGCTCAGAGGTCGGGTGGAATTTGACACGAGCCGAAAGTTAGGGAATGTGATCGATCGGCACCGGGGCAAGTGGATCGGGATGCATTACGACTCCCTGATGGCCCCGATCGCCATTCCCTCCCCCCCCCCCCCCCCCCTCTTGACGACCTTCTTGGCATACTACCGGGTCGTCCCGGCTCAGATCTGCCCCAACTCGCACCGGATCATCGCCTGCTTTCCCCAGATATGCGCTCGGCACGAAGCCGCCTGCACGATGGAGTTATTCAACTACATCTACCAGGTCAAAGTTCTCCCGGGCAGCTACGGAGGCGGGTTTCTAATGCTGCAGTCTCGGGCGGACATGTGCGCCATCAAAGGCCTGCCCGGGAACAACAAGGGGTGGAAGAATAGAATTTTCTCCATCAAATACGATCCCTGGATCCTCCCGGTCGACCGCGCTTGGAGCACCCACTTTCGGAAACAAGTGGTGCCAGACGAGACACAAGCGCTCAAGGAGACGGTCGCTCGGATCTCGAGCGAGCTGCACGAGTATACAATCTTCCGAACGGCCGAGAGTCTCGAGGCGGCTAAACTCCCGTCCCCTACGTACGAGCTACGGGAAAAATATCTGCACGTACCTATGGGCGTGACGGTCGCCAAGCCGTCGAGGCGGAAGAAGAAAGGTTTAACCCGAGCTTCTCTTCCCGATCTAACTTTATATTCCGATCAATCTAACTTTGCTTCTTTATTTGCAGCCATGGCAGAGTTCGGAGACGAAGATGCCCCCTTTCCCCCGCCCGCCAAGATCTCCCTTGGCGGCAAGAAGAAGGCGAAGGCGAAGCCGGCCGGGGAGAAGGAGATCCCCTCGGCCCGACCGCTAAGCGCCTCGACCGTGACGACGACCGAGGGCTTCATCGTCGAGCCCTCAGACGTCCTGGTCACCCGGGTGGAAGTCGCCCGTAGTAAGGAGAGGGTCTCCGACCAGGGCGTGACCGAGGTGGGCGGCATGAAACGCCGTCGAGAACAACGCAGTCCGAGTCCCTCGGTCGGGCGAGGGAAGGACGACACGTCTATATTGGCCCGGATTGGCAACGCCGGGCCAGCAAGGGAGGATCTGGGGAAGATGACCCCAACCCAAGTGGCCGAGAGGATTGGCCATGACCTGGCCGAGGTAAGCTTTCTCCCACTGCCTTTCTCTTTTGTACAAGTATCTTCATCCGGGCTAATTCCAAATGTCTTTTTGTACCGCAGATTTCCCGAGCGGCCCAGCTCCTACAAGGTCGGGCCATGCTGGCCGAAGAAGCCAACCATCACAAGAAGGCGGCCGCTCGTCGCTTGAAGGAAATCAAGGACATCCAGGCCGAGCTGGAGAAGGCCCAGAAGGGCCTAAAGAAGAGCGAGGAAGACCGGGTTCTCGCGGAGAAGGTCGCCCAACGGGCGATCGGGGAAGCCAAGGAACTGAAGGCCCGACTCGACAATCCGAGCGAGTTGGTGCAGTCTGTCTTCAAGGACAGCGAGTCGGGCTCGGCGTTTCTCACAGCGGCCCGGGGAACAAAGGTCGGAGAGGACCTAATCCTCTCCTTTGGACGATGGGCCTTCAAAGCCGGGCAACGCAAAGTGCTCGAGCGAGCTCGTACCCGGATGGAGCAAGCTCTTGAAGGAGACGACCTCCAACTGGTCCTATCGACCTTGCCCCCAGACCTAGCTGACCTCGGTCCCTCTCCCTTCGCTCCGAAAGAAAAGGCGACCGAGCCAGGTGGATCGTCTGCGGCCACTCCGAGCGGGAAGGAAACGACTGCTGGAGCTCAGGAAGTAAAGAAGTAGAATAGGCTTCTTCTTTTTTGTAAAGGAACACTGATCGGGAGCCCGGTCCCGAATTTGTACCGGGCACTCTTTTTCAATCAATGAAACTCGTTTTTTGTTAAACTTATATTGTTCGTCTTTCTTTCTGCTTTTTTACTTTTAGTCATGCACATGCCGACCCTTAATGCTCGACCTCATGGCCTTTTGGCCCGGTCCTGCACTACTCGATCCGTTCGGCGCCCGACCTTATGGCTTTATGGCCCGGTCGTGCATCCGAGATTTCGACATCAAACTGGCCAACCTGATCGGGTTTACTCGGTCTCCAGGCCTTGTCAAAATTTTTGAAAATAAGTAAGCCTCTACGGTCGGGATACTTCCGAACGACGGGCCTGTAAATACTTCCTTCATCCCAGCCCCCACACTATTGTGCTCTCATGGCACGAGTGAGTGCAATAGTGGACAAGAAGTGATCAGATCGGGGAATTATGCTGTGTGCTCCTGGCTTCCCCGACCGGTGGCGTGACTCGAATGTCTGCCGATGTGGAGCGCGTCTGATCGCTCGATAAATTCGCCCGGTCGGTGTAGCTTGAAGATAAATTGATCTGCGTGCACCGAAGGTAAAGAAAATGACCGACCGGGCCGCCGCATGCAAGCGGTCAAGCAATCACCGATCGTATATACATTAAAACCTTCACGCTCGCAGGCGGTTAATATCTATAAACATAGGAATTTAACTACAAACGACGACCGGGACCTACACACAGGTCAAGCCCCCTCTTCGTCCAAAGATTACAAAAAATAGGCTTAATGCCTAAACATGACGAGGTG